TGCACAAGTTGTTCTAGTACGGTAGTTACTTGTATTGAAAGTGACTTGCCTGTGATTTTATGGGAAGAAACACTGTTGGTGTTATAGTAGGCTCGATTACCACCGGCTGTTTGGGAAATGAGCCCTCGGTCCTCCCCTGAACAGACAGCTGGACGCCTGGGCTTGCTACTGTTAATTACCACCAATAAGCTTCAAATAGACTCTATAAAGCCATGGTCTCCCCGGTTCTAGATTATTGTGATGCTGTGTGGCATGACTGTGGACAAGGAAACAATGACAAGATTGAAGGACTACAAAGATGAGCAGCGAGGATTGTCTACTTCAAAGCTGCCTCAAAACTATCAACTGATCAAATTGGAACCTTTCTATTATAGAAGACAGACACACATTTTAAGATTTGTTAATCAGTGCATTGCAAATAAAGTTCCCAGATACCCTTTTAATTATTTTAATGTAAGAAACCGTGACATTCACCGCCACAAAACTAGAAATAATAATGACCTTATTTTAGAAAAAGTTAACTTAGAATGTACCAAGCACGCTTTTTTCTACAAAGGTCCAAAAATTCTTAATAACTTTTAGAATTTATAACTGTTCGAATCTTCCTTTTAATGTAACTATTTTATATTATTGTAACTTGTTTTTATCCATAATAATTATTTTTAACCTTTTTTTTCAGGACCTGCATTGATTGCAGTTTTTTCTTAAAACTGATGCAGCAATCCTCTACGAATATGTTTAAATTATTATTATTATTATTATTATTATTATTATTATTATTTTGATTTCTTTTCTTTTTTTTTTTTTTTTTGCTTTCATTTTGTTTTGTTTTTTTGAATCATCCAATCTCAGGCAGCATTTGTAAATTGCCTATACGTGGCGAGATTTGCAATTGTACCTTCAAAAACACAAATGAAGTTTACACTATTATTATTATCGTTGCCTGCTCAAATCAAGCAGGCAGCATAAATCATTTCATTTTCCTGGAGTAGATTTTAAACGGCGGATGCAAACTTAGGTGTTGTTTGATTTGGCGTGTAATCGTGTTTTAGAGCGTTTTCAGCTTAAAAACCTAAAATTTTTACAAAGAAAAGTATTAGCTTAGAGAAGCGGGCAAATAGTAGGTATGTTTTGGAAATTCAACCAACCGGTTCACTGGATCAACAATTATTTCCATTCTACATGAATGATGGTTGTTGGCAGCTAAAAAGAAAGAGACGACTGTCAAGTCCACCAGTAATGCAAGGTCAATGTAAATACAATCAGTACGTGTTTCTGCTGATTTTTATGGCAAATACCAAAGTGATAACGAGGCAAAGCACAACATATGTTCAGTATTTAATGACATTTCCCATTTTCGAGGTTTCTTAAAGATGCATAAATTTTGAAGTACGTCACAGACACAATGGGCCACTCACTCATCCAGCCGTCTCTTCTCAGGGAGGGCTGAAAGAGCGGTGGAAATCGAGCCTAGTGTTAAAGGGGTATAGTAAATAATTTACTATTGTCTGATTCTACAGTTATAGCAACATTCATATTTATTAATTATTACTGGATCACTACATTCAGATCATTATTACATGTATTTATGTTGTGCATTGTAAATGAGTCATTTTAATATGCTTACATGTGTTGCCTCCTGACATGCGTTTTCTACTTTAATCAGTAATTTCAAAACAGTCTTTTTTATTTGTATTGCACTTTACAGCTGCCATGCACTCAACCCAGCCAATAAAACTTGGGGATCTGTGTTTCAGTCATTGGTGACTAGCACTAACATACAGGATCAAATCACATTCAAGCAGTCACCATTCAAAACTTCATGCTTTGCAGTGGAATTTGGAGAAAAACGGAAGGTGTCAGTAGAAGCTGAGTTTCAAGGTGATTCTACAAATTTAATTTTATGGTCATGACAAATATCCATGATAATACCATTTCAAACTTAACAGTGGCCAAAGAGCAAGTTCAAAAGAAAATTCAAATTTCTTTTTGTAAAATCATAAAAAATAAATGGCAGTTCACCTGTATTTTAAAGTTTTTACCAAAAGTTGTTTCATTTGAATGTCAATAGCATTGAAAGTTAGTGACATACTGTATTTGATTAAGTAAGTACTGCCACTAATTAATACCCGTGAACAACACCATCAAATAAACGCTCACCCAATCAGAAGAATGTGGAGTTTATGTGAGGATAATAAAAAAATAAACTTGCTTTAACCCAATAGTCTACACCATGCAGACAATAATGATATGATTCTATTTCAGCAAAAAAGCACCTTACTTTTGTGCATGTAGAGGGTAAATAATAATGTTGTTAATCTCTTTCCATTTTAGTCATTGACTGGAATTTTCCAGCAGCATTTCTAGCAGGCCTTGTCATCTTTTACAATGCAGAAAGACTTAGTAGGTATACTATCTAAACGTCCCCTTCCACACTGTAAATTTTAACAAGAACTTGATTTGTTAAAGTGATGATGATGATATTCGAGGAGGATGATGATGATGATGATGATGATGATGATGATGATGATGGTGACAGTAATGACAGTTGATCCATTGAGTCTATTTAGATGCCATACCAACTTTCAATTGCTGCCAATAGATCTTTGTCATGGGGTGGCCATTTTGTCTTAGGAGATCTAAAAAGCTCTGTTTATCCATGGATAGCCTCTTAGAGAGAACGAGGCTAGCTGTTCATAAACAAAGCTTTTTAAGTCTACTAAGACAAAATGGTCGCTGCGTGAGGGAGGTCTATTGTATGCTTACAACTACACTGTAGCATTGCGCCTCAATAGTAGGTCTAGTTGTTTTCCACACCATAATTATTCCTTTGATCTTGTTATTGCCCATGGTGCACTAAAGTAAACTGATCAAGAGCAGATTCTATGGAAAGTCGCACTTTTGTTCTTTGTTGTTGTTCTTGCAAACTTTGTGCACACAAGATAGCAGAGCTGTGAATCTGTTGTCAATGTTTCTTCTATTATTAATATTATTAATGAGCTGTTTTTTCTTTCCAGGAACAGTTTGTTCTTTTATTCATCTGGTGTATCACTTGGTCTTATCATGTCACTTCTTCTGCTTGTCTACATACTGCACAGACTATTCATGCTGCACAGACTAATCCCAGGGGTAAGAAAGAGCGGTGTGGGGTCAATGTTAAGACCTAGCCCTGGGGTTTTTTCTTTCCAGAAACAGCTTGTTCTTTTATTCATCTGGCCCTGGTTGTTCAAGCCTTGGATAGCGCTCTCCACTGGATAAATCACTATCCAGTGAATAAGTATTACGGAAATCAATAACGCCATCCGCTGGATAGTGATTTATCCAGTTGATAGCGCTACCCAACGTTTGAACAACTGGGCCCTGCTGTATCACTTGGTCTTATCATGTCACTTCTTCTCCTTGTCCACATCCTACACGGATTAATCCCTGGGGTGAGACAAAAAGGTTCGGGGCCACTGTTAAGACTTATCCCTTGGATAAGACAAAGCAGTTTGGGGGTGATGTTTTAGACAAAGTCCTGGGGTAAAGCGAGCAGAGGTGAGTGTTAACCCCGTTATGCTGGCAATAGGAAGTTTAAAAATGTTGAACGTGCATGTATGCATTTGCTTAAGAATTGTTGTCAATATTTCAGCATATTGTTTTATGCCATTTTCGCAACTGAGGCCGCCGTGTTTACTTGTTGTATTTTACTGCGTTCGACCTCATGAGAACGCAGCCTAATCCCCTCGTTTGGGTGTCCAAGTCAAAAACGGATGGCAGGACCAAAAGCATGTCCTTTCGGGAAGTTTATTGCATTTACATGTATTGGAGGCGTTGTTTTAAATGTTGTTGTTGTGTGGTCATTCTTTTCAGAGAGGAGGTGCATATGCTGTTTTAATTGGAGGATGGAGTCTGGGTGCCTATTTAATCCAGTGGACTTGGAGTAACTTAAAAGACCTTCTACTTAACCACAACCAATGGGTCATTGGATATCTTGTTGTTATAGGTATGTCACTAAACAGACCTATAGATATGAGGACCAGATTTAACCACAAGTTTTTTCGCGTATATTCTCTAAACGTACATAGACAACCCGGAAAACTTCATTGTCCTTTTTTGTTTTTTTCAACAGAAACGTTAGTACGGTTATTTTTATCGAAGGAGGTTAAGCCCTCTCCCGATCGCAAAGTGATACATTTTCGAACATTTTAATAACTTGTTTCCGCCATTACGACATTCTTGCTAAAATCCGTAGTAGATTGAAGACGGCTATCGCGCTTTCCCGCCAAAAGAACCCTGGATCACGCGTGCGCACTACTTATTTCAGTAGTATTGAGAAAATCTCGTCCTCGTCGTCGCGCCCTCGTTTTTTTTAAATAGAATCTAAAGGTCTCTTATGGGAAAAGGAAAACGTGCATATTAAAGATTATTATGGTCGGTATTTTTCAAAAACTCTTACTCTTTGACTGTCGTATTACGCTCTATAACAGCAGAGTTTTTCCTTTCGTCAGGTATCAGAAGCTTATGTGTTTGCTGTTGTTACGGCCTAGTCAACGTATTACGCTGTATAACAGCTGTGTTTATTTCCCGCTTTCTTCAGGCCTCATAAGCTTTGGTGTATGTTATTATTACGGCCCAGTAACCAGCGACCGCGGACTGGATCTCATTCGCTGGATGCTGCAGCTTATAGGATTGAGCCTACTGTACATGAGTACAAGGTCAGATGAGGTCTCCATAGCTCTGTGTATTCAAGTGGTTTGGTCCCATATAATTCGTTTCAGACTGCTTCCTCAACACTGGTAAGGCTACCTTTCATGCTGCCAAGATTAAATTATAGGACAGAGAGGAAAACACCGTTGTTTGCTTTGAGGCAGTCAGGCGTGAACTTGATGACGTTTCAAACGCGGACGTCCCAGGAATTAGAGTTAGAATTAGAGGCGGGTTATCAGAAATAAAAACAAAAAATAATTAACAGTCGCCCTTGAACTATATAGCTAAAAGAAAAAGAGCCAAGTAAATATGTTTATAATCTTCCATCTAATCATACAACCTTTTAGTCGATCTTTCTTGACTTTTTTTCGTTGGTTCGTTCTTATACCCGTCGGATCAATTTAGGTTAGTGGGAAACTGACCACCTACTCCTCCCCTAAGCCAACATTTTGCCCTAAGTGAGAAGTAAGTGATAATGTTGGCTTAGCGGAGGGGTAGGTGGTCACTTTCCCGGAAATCTTAATTGATCCCACCCGTCCGGGCTTAGTCTGCTTCGCAGACGTAATCTAACCCCGTTAGTAACTTCTGCGAAGCAGCGCTGATATCCTTGTTCTCGCCCCCCAACGGACTCAACGAATTACCGGAAATGCGTTTCGAGTTTTCCCTTCAATGGCAAATTTTCAATAGTATTTTAAACTGGCCAATCATAGCGCGTACTCAACATATAAGCTAAAAAAAATACATTTATCGTGTGGGTTGGGACTTGCAAAGCTTTCACTGTAAAATTTGAATGAGTTGTTTTCGTCTATTTTAATAGAATGTGACCAGTTGTCTTAACGTCTTCTATCGTTAATTGAAAGGGAGTTTTAAGATAATCAAGGTAATAAAAATCATTCTTATAGCATCTTTGAGACGGTAGTGTGGTTTGAATTGATTGAATCGTCCGAAATAAATATGGTTGTTGTGCTCAATTTGCTATGGCAATAAAAGCTAAAAGCGCAGATGTGGTCAACACCGCTTGCACAGAAAGGTTTCTTGCGCATTTGTGCTCAAACCCGTAGGGATTTGTCGCTAGTGTACAACAACCCTCAGTGGCGGATCCAGGGAAGGGACCCGGGGGGGGGGGGCCGGGGCACCCTTTACTTTTATACCAAAGTGAGGCCCGAAGGGCCGAAAAAAAAATTTTTTTGAGACCGGGACTCTTGACTTTTGAGACCGGGACGCGTGACGAACGAATTCCAAAGGACGTCTGCGGGGAGGCTACCCAAGCTCACGTTGCGAGTTTGTAATGTAAATTTACTTTCTCACAAGACTGTCGGTGTCGCGTTACAAGCTACCGTTCAGACTTTTTATGGGAAATAGAATACTGAGGTTTGCGAACGCTAAATATCATTATTTTTTACTTTTTTTTCTATAAAATAAAGGATACTTACCTTTTATGTATTCCTTGGTTTTTTGGTGTGAATTCATCGATGCAGTCAGGTTTTTTGGCAGTTGTTTGTGTGACCCCTGCCACTCTCTTGGTGCTATTGTAAACCGACTATCTCTTTAAACTGCGGTAAATACACCGTCACAAAAATTACAAAACCAAAACGTTTTCGCCAAAAACAGTGCATTTGTTAGCCCTTTTTACAGACGGATTTTTTGTTTTTCATTAGTATTGAAATCCCTACCCTTTCCTGCATACCTGAAGCCCGAAAAAGGTACCCCTTTCGGACGTATTTCCCCGAAAAGGCCATTACATAGGAATACCCCCGAGGGCATAATATTTTCACTCACTCTATTTGACGTGAGACTCAGCTACTTCATTTGCCACTGTTGGCCTTTCAGTCTAATTATTTCGGGTCTGCTAGACATGTATCTCTAGTTAGAAGTATTAAATGGACTCGTAACTTTACTAAAAGGCTTTAGAGGGATTTCCTGCCCTTCCTTGTCTGAGCCGTTTTTGAGCAGCGGATTTCTGGTACTCCCGGGTACGTAACTCATGTATGATCCTATAGGAAAATGGCGGCACACATGGCAAGGAAAGCTCTTTACGTTTATGGCGCATTTTGCATACTTTTGTTTGCCAAAGCGAGTTACGAATGCAAAAGTAAGTATTTACACTTTTTGCGTTGACTTAAGACAGAATTATGAGTAATTCTGAAAATGGAGTTCGAGAAAAGAGTTAAAACAATTTTGAAATTTGCCCCTCGGCCCCGCGCCTCTACTCGTTTAAGCAGAGTTACATGTACGATCATTGTGCCGTGATTGCACGAAAAACAAATTTAATTATTTATTCCAATAATTTATGATTCAATGAGGGACAACTTAAGGTTTTTTTCTCAGTCTCACCCTTGTGACATTGGATAAAAACATTGTAATGTTTAACTTATTGAGAGCACTGGACAGGATGAAATGCAACAGTCAGATAATTTTTCAATCCAAAATACCTGTATCATTTTTACTAAACATTTATGCGTGGTAAAGCCACGTACCTTATTAACTCAGGGCGCGAAGAAAATCCTGTCTTGTTTTCCAGGACATTTAGTAGATTTGCTAGTAAATTTGGGTAAGGAACATTGTTATATTCCTAGACTTTCACTCAACTAAACACGGACTGCCATTGGTTGATTCTTGGTCACGTGGCCTTGACTAAAATCAAATGTATCCCAATCGTGATACATTAAGCAATGTACCCCGCTCAGGCTACATTACAGCACATGATCAAAGCATGGTGGAAAGTAGCGTGACAGAAGGCGGTAAAAACACTGCCTGTTTTCATTTTTGTGAATGAACACAACAGCTTGAACACAAACACGAAACCTCAAGCTAAAAAGCAACGATTTTTAGAGGCATCCTAGAAGAGAAAGAGCAGCTAGTGGAGAAAAAAGATGCAGATAATATAAGGAAAGTACTTTGTAAATCATTTATTCAGTGGTTTTAAGAATTAAATTTGTGTTGTTATAAGTACCGAGTTGACTGTTTTAGTTCGCTCCAGTTATTCTTTTGTTGCTGTTGAAGTGAAAGTCTGGAAATATAACAAAACACTTAATGTCAGGTCCCTCGGGAAACCAGTTAGTTTTGTTTTCCCTCGAGTCCTGATGTTTCCCGAGACGAACATCATAACTCTCGCGAGAACAAAACTAACTGTTTCCCTCGGGATCTGACATTAAGTGTACAATAATCTTTTTTCCTCGCTTGTCCAATGGGCAAAGGTCCATTCAAGTCATCTAGTAGTTACATCATTATCAAGCAAGCAGTGGCCCTAAGCAAGCAAAATATAAAAGGTGCTTGAGCTTTTTTCAAGCCCTACCAAAAACACAACAAAGTAATTTGATAATTTGTCGTCTTCAGACATCTCCATTTTAGAACTATCGAGAAAGAAGGATTTTTCCAAGTCCCAAGCTAAGGACATGAAAATGTGTGTATCGGGTAGGAATGTCTCACTGTCACACTTGTGGGGCAGTGTGGTAGTTGCTCTTCGATTTGAAAAAACTGATGTTCAATCTTATGAAGCTGATAGGTAAGTTAATTTTTTTTCCCAACAAAATGGTGACTAGTAACACTAATTAATTCAGCTAGCATGTTCATTGTATACAAGTTGCTCTAGTAGTTACTTGTATTGAAAGTTACTTGCCAGTGATTTTATGGGGAGAAACACTGTTGGTGTTAAAGTAGGCTCGATTACCAGCAGCTGTTTGGGAAATGAGCCCGCGGTCCTCCCATGAACAGACAGCTGGACGCATGGGCTTGCTATTGTTAATTACCACCAATCATAAGCTGCAAATAGACTCTATAGAGCCATGGTCCTCCCAGTTCTAGATTATTGTGATGCTGTGTGGCATGACTGTTGACAAGGAAACAATGAGAAGATTGAATGACTACAAAGATGAGCAGTGAGGATTGTCTACTTCAAAGCTGCCTCAAAACTATCAACTGATCAAATTGGAACCTCTCTATTATAGAAGACAGACACACATTTTAAGATTTGTTAATGATGGCATTGCAAATAGAGTTCCCAGATACCCTTTTTATTGTTTTAATGTAAGAAACCGTGACATTCATCGCCACAAAACTAGAAATAATAATGACCTTATCTTAGAAAAAGTTAACTTAGAATGCACCAAGCGCGCTTTTTTCTACACAGGTGCAACAAAATTTTTAATACCTTTTAGAATTTAAAACTGTTTGAATCTTCCTTTTAACGTAGCTATTTTATACTATTGTAATTTGTTTTTATCCATATTTTTAACCTTTTTTTTTCAGGAGCAGCATTGATAGCAGTTTTTTCTTAAAACTGATGTAGCAATCCTGTATAAATATGTTTAAATTATTATTATTATTATTATTATTACAAAATTATTATTATCGTTGGCTGCTCAAATCAAACAGACAGCTTAAATCATTTTATTTTTCTGGAGCAGATTTTAAACGGCAGGCCAAACTTAGGTGTTGTTTGATTTGGCGTGCGATTGTGTCTTAGAACGTTTTTTAACAAAGAAAAGTATTCGCTTAGAGAAGCTGGCAAATAGTAGGTATGTTTTTGAAATTCAACCAACTGGAACTGGATCAATAATTATTTCCATTCTACATGAATGATGGTTGTTTGCAGCTAACGTGAAAGAGACGACTGTCAAGTCCACCGGTAATGCAGGGTCAATGTAAATACAATCAGTACGTGTTTCTGCTGATTTTTATGGCAAAAAATTAATACCAAAGTAAAGACGAGGCAAAGCACAACATATGTTCAGTATTTAATGACATTTCCCATTTTTGACGTTAAAGATGCATAAATTTTGAGGTTACTTTATGGGCCACTCACTCATCCAGCCATCTCTTCTTGGGGAGGACTAAGAGAGCGGTGGAAATCGAGCCTAGTGTTAAAGGGGTATAGTAAATAATTTACTATTGTCTGATTCTACAGTTATAGCAACATTCCTATTTATTAATTATTACTGGATCACTACATTCAGATCATTATTATATGTATTTATGTTGTGCATTGTAAATGAGTCATTTTAATATGCTTACATCTGTTTCCTCCTGACATGTGTTTTCTACTTCAATCAGTAATTTCAAAACATTCTTTTTTATTTGTATTGCACTTGACAGCTGCCATGCGCTCAACCCAGCCAATAAAACTTGGGGATCTGTGTTTCAGTCATTGGTGACTAGCACTAACATACAGGATCAAATCACATTCAAGCAGTCACCATTCAAAGCTTCATGCTTTGCAGTGGAATTTGGAGAAAAACAGAATGTGTCAGTAGAAGCTGAGTTTCAAGGTGATTCTACAAATTTAATTTTACGGTCACGACAAATATCCATGATAATACCATTTCAAACTTAACAGTGGCCAAAGAGCAAGTTCAAAAGAAAATTCAAATTTCTTTTTGTAAAATCCTATAAAATAAATGGTAGTTCACCTGTATTTTAAAGTTTTTACCAAAAGTTCTTTCATTTGAATGTCCATAGCATTGAAAGTTAGTAACATACTGTATTTGATTAATTAAATACTGCCACTAATTAATACCCGTGAACAATGCCATCAAATAAACGCTCACCCAATCAGAAGAATGTGGAGTTTATGTGAGGATAATAAAAAAAAACTTGCTTTAACCCAATAGTCTACACCATGCAGACAATAATGATATGATTCTATTTCAGCAAAAAAGCACCTTACTTTTGTGCATGTAGAGGGTAAATAATAAAGTTGTTAATCTCTTTCCATTTTAGTCATTGACTGGAAATTTCCAGCAGCATTTCTAGCAGGCCTTGTCATCTTTTACAATGCAGAAAGACTTAGTAGGTATACTATCTAAACGTCCCCTTCCACACTGTAAATTTTAACAAGAACTTGATTTGTTAAAGTGATGATGATGATGATATTCGAGGATGATGATGATGATGATGGTGACAGTAATGACAGTTGATCCATTGAGTCTATTTAGATGCCATACCAACTTTCAATATTGCTGCCAATAGACCTTTGTCATGGGCTGGCCATTTTGTCTTAGGAGATCTAAAAAGCTCCGTTTATGCATGGATAGCCTCTTAGAGAGAACGAGGCTAGCTGTTCATAAACAAAGCTTTTCAAGTCTACTGAGACAAAATGATCGCTGCGTGAGGGAGGTCTATTGTATGCTTACAACTACACTGTAGCATTGCAACTCAATAGTAGGTCTAGTTGTTTTCCACACCATAATTATTCCTTTGATCTTATTATTGCCCATGGTGCACTAAAGTAAACTGATCAAGAGCAGATTCTATGGAAAGTCGCACTTTTGTTCTTTTTTGTTGTTCTTACAAACTTTGTGCGCACAAGATAGCAGAGCTGTGAATCTGTTGTCAATGTTTCTTCTATTATTAATATTATTAATGAGCTGTTTTTTCTTTCCAGGAACAGTTTGTTCGTTTATTCATCTGGTGTATCACTTGGTCTTATCATGTCACTTCTTCTGCTTGTCTACATACTGCACAGACTAATCCCAGGGGTAAGAAAGAACGGTGTGGGGTCAATGTTAAGACCTAACCCTGGGGTTTTTTCTTTCCAGAAACAGCTTGTTCTTTTATTCATCTGGCCCTGGTTGTTCAAACGTTAGATAGCGCTATGCACTGGATAAATCACTATCCAGAGAATAAGTATTACGGAAATCAATAACGCCATCCGCTGGATAGTGATTTATCAAGTTGATAGCGCTACCCAACGTTTGAACAACTGAGCCCTGCTGTATCACTTGGTCTTATCATGTCACTTCTTCTACTTGTCCACATGCTACACGGATTAATCCCTGGGGTGAGACAAAAAGGTTTGGGGCCACTGTTAATTAAGACTTATCCCTTGGGTAAGACAAAGCAGTTTGGGGGTGATGGTTTAGACAAAGTACTGAGGTAAAGCGAGCAGAGGTGAGCGTTTGTTAACCCCTGTTGTGCAGGCAATAGGATTGGAAGTTGAAAAATGTTGAACGTGCATGTATGCATTTGCTTAAGAATTGTTGTCAATATTTCAGCATATTGTTTTATGCCATTTTCGCAACTGAGGCCGCCGTGTTTACTTGTTGTATTTCACTGCGTTCGACCTCATGAGAACGCAACCTAATCCCCTCGTTTGGGTGTCCAAGTCAAAAACGGATGGCAGGACCAAAAGCATGTCCTTTCGGGAAGTTTATTGCATTTACATGTATTGGAGTCGTTTTTTTAAATGTTGTTGTTGTGTGGTCATTTCTTTTCAGAGAGGAGCTGCATATACTGTTTTATTTGGAGGATGGAGTCTGGGTGCATATTTAATCCAGTGGACTTGGAGTAACTTAAAAGACCTTCTACTTAACCACAACCAATGGGTCATTGGATATCTTGTTGTTATAGGTATGTCACAAAAGAGACCTATAGATATGAGGACCAGATTTAACTAAAAGTTTTTTCTCGTATATTCTCTAAACGTAGACACCCGGGAAAACTTCATTCAGTTGTCCTTTTTTTTTTTCAGCTGAAACGTTAGTACGGTTATTTTTATCGAAGGAGGTTAAGCCCTCTCCCAATCGCAAAATGATACATTTTCGAACATTTTAATAACTTGTTTCCGCCACTACGACATTCTTGCTAAAACCCGTAGTAGAATGAAGACGGCTATCGCGCTTTCCCGCCAAAAGAACCCTGGATCACGCGTGCGCACTACTTAATTAGCTATTGAGAAAATCTCGTCCTCGTCGTAGCGCCCTTGTTTTTTTAACAGAATCTAAAGGTCTCTTATGCGAAAAGGAAAACCTGCATTTTAAAGATTATTATGGTCGGTATTTTTCAAAAACTCCTACGCTTTGACTGTCGTATTACGCTCTATAACAGCAGAGTTTTTTCCTTTCGTCAGGCATCAGAAGCTTATGTGTTTGCTGTCGTTACGGCCTAGTCAACGTATTACTCTGTATAACAGCTGTGTTTATTTTCCGCTTTCTTCAGGCCTCATAAGCTTTGGTGTATGTTATTATTACGGCCCAGTAACCAGCGACCGCGGACTGGATCTCATTCGCTGGATGCTACAGCTTATTGGATTGAGCCTACTGTACATGAGTACAAGGTCAGATGAGGTCTCCATAGGTCTGTGTATTATAGTGGTTTCGTCCCATATAATTCGCAGAAGTGGCATCCTTGTCTTCTGTTTCAGACTGCTTCCTCAACACCGGTAAGGCTACCATTCGTGCTGCCAAGATTAAATTATAGGACAGAGAGGAAAACATCGTTGTTTGCTTTGAGGCAGTCAGGCGTGGACTTGATGACGTTTCAAACTCGGACGTCCCAGGAATTAGAGTTCCGTTAAATTGAAACCTCTAAAAATAACTTAAGTGAAGTTCGCATATCCCGGCCAACGCCCTAAGTTTCCCTCTTTGGCCTATTTTTCCCATTAATTTGCCCGTCTGGAGGCGTCTCACCCTTTGCTTGTAACCTCCTTGATGTTTTATCCTGTTTTCCGTAACCACTGTACCCTTCGATTAAACATCTATTTACTGAAAATGTCGTGCGGAAAACGCAGGAAATGGCATTTCTGAGCCTCTAAGTATGAAAACGTTCTCGGGGAGCATGCCCCCACTCCCCCTAGTTTGCAGTACCTTCGCAGGTCTAACCTTTCTTTCCCTGCGTACTCTTTCAAAACCTTAAGCTACGCCTCTGAGGTGTCGTTAATGTCAGATCAAACGTATTTTGGCCACTGATTAATCGTGAGCAAGAGTTGTCTGCCTTTTGTAATTCCGCTGATTTACTATTAATTTTTTTTTTCGCAGGATTTCCTACAGAGTCTATTATTTCTTCTTTCCTCCAAGACACACATTTCTTTCCGAGGAGGAATACATGATGCAGGGAACTGAAGAAACTAGAAGAGCTTTAGAAGATCTTAGAGAATATTGCAGCAGTCCCGAGTGCGATACATGGCGCCTTGTTAGTCGACTGCAAAATCCCATTAGGTATGTTACCATCCCGGTAGGAGGGTTCTCCCTGTGATGGCCTTAACGGGGAGGCTCCGCCCGAAAAGGGTACCTTTTTCACGCTTCAGGTGTATGAAAGAGTAAGGGATTTCACTTGTCGAGTGTATGGAATGGTAGGGAAATCGGAGAAAAGGCCCAAAAGGGCTAACAGATGCGTTTTATGGCTGTGAAAAAAATTGAGAAAATGTCTTGGTTTTGTGATTTATACTACTACATGAGAAATTTCTGTAATTTGATTGGCTTAGAGCAGTGGTTTTTCAGCTTAATTTGAAATACCTACATGTGAAAATTACAAACCTTTTGCGGGTAGTAGTATAAACAAATAATAGCATGATTTGTACGTGATAATTGGCTTAAATACCACTTGTGATATTTCAAAATTGTCTCCAATTTCGAAATATCACTCGTGGTATTTATGCCAAATATCACTACAAATCATGCTATTACCTATACTTATACTACTACATGAGAAATTACTGCAATTTGATTGGCTTAGAGCAGTGGTTTTTCAGCTTAATTTGAAATACCTACATGTGAAAATTACAAACCTTTTGCGGGTAGTAGTATAAACAAATAATAGCATGATTTGTACGTGATAATTGGCATAAATACCACTTGTGATATTTCAAAATTGTCTCAAATTTCACTCGCATAACGGCTCGTGAAATTACGTATAACAATTTTGAAATATCACTCGTGATATTTATGCCAAATATCACTACAAATCATGCTATTACCTATACTTATCCATATGTTAAAGACTGTGTATTTACAGTAGTTAAAAGGGATGCAATGTTCTACAGTCAAAGGGATTCCTTTTCTGCCAAATAAAGGTAAATAAAAGGGTAAGGGGTTGGACCTCAAGGAAGAGCCTCATCGTGTTACTATTTTGTTTAATGCATATAGAAAAACGAACAAATCAGGGAACACAGAGAGAAATTAAAACTGAAGGAAAATGTAAAGGAAACGAAAATAATTAAATATTGGCTTGCAGTGGTACTTGAATGGTCACACTTTGATTCCTGCAGATTCACTGAGTTGAAACTGAAGCTTAACGTCGAGTTGCGCAATCTTTAATCCCATGGTGTAAATAGTAAGGCGGAATGTGTCGGTTGGACGATTCGCACGAAAATCGCCATTCTAGGTTCCTTTTGTGACTCCACAAGTATATCTCGATACTCTTTTCTTGCAAAAACCTTGGACAGAAGTCAAATAAATTTGAAGTTTAGCTGGTTCAATTTTACCTTGGATTTCGTGCGACATCCCGTTTTTTTCTCGCCCTGTTCGTAAAATTAATGGGAAAGTTTTTTTACCCACTTCAGTTACTTTTTTTACTTTTTACATGTACTTTTTCCTTTTACATTTTATATTTGACTCTTAATCCTTTACGTCCCAACAGTGACCAACTTCAATTTTCCCCCAACAATATCAATACATAATCAGCAGAAAAGCTTAAGAGAATCAATAAACTGATCACCAAACGGAAAATGCTTTGATCTTTTTTTTTTCTCAAATTCTCCTGGGCAGCGTATTTTCTAAGGGAATGTATGAAGGTCAGTCAGGACAATTTATGGGTTTATTGGCTTAAAGGGTTAAATGAAACACGCAATGCGTTTAAACCGGCTCTTGAAGTTTAAGGAATTGTGATTTTTGAAAAGCTGAAGGTCTGTTTACAGTGTAGGTATTTTTGTAGGATATTTTTTCTTACGTAAACTAACCCCTCCGTCAAAAGGTAAATGGAGGGCTCCTACTCAAGTTGATTGTCGCAATGGCTTAAAGTTTATAGCTTTATTAGTATATATGCTTAAGCTTCCCTTTTAGGCTTGGCTAAATCAATAACTTACAGATTACAGCTGTAATCTGTTTTCTGAATCAAGAGATGCTTAGGGTTTTTATAAGTAATGTTCACATCAAACTTCTTTTCCAGATTTGCGCAATTCATGTCCACTGGCCAGCATATCGTAGACAATGAAGTAAGAACACACGAAGAAGTAGATTCTTCACATTGGCTCACTGAAGAAAGTGAAGACGGAACACTAAACACTTCGAGTCTTGGTGAGTAATCAATAGCTCCCACCAGATACTTGTAGCTTGACCATCTTCACCAGGTTGTGGCGTTTTTCTGGTAGTTGCCAAAGATGATATCAACCGCTGGAATCGCGATCAGAATGGTTTCGTTTCTTTTAATGCTTCTTTTTTCATGGAAGAACATTTTTTTTTTTCAATTATCAACCTTCAAGACTCGCTTTAAAACTTATGAAGTGAGCCGCCTAGCAATTTCAGCGGACTACACTCTTGAAATGACCCTAAAGTATATCAGTAACCCATCAGACTCTCTCATCATGTCCACACGAGCATTATTATTTTCAATAAAGAAGCCATCTTGAGCCTCATCCTGAATGGAACCGCAATGTGCGTTATAAGTTGAAGCATTCAGATCTTCCACACGAAGACTGTTTTAATACAAGCCCACTCAGATGTATGCTGCATACTAAAACGAACTTCAGTGTGCGTTAATCAAAGTTCAATCGTGCAGAGGAGAACTGACTCTTACCAGCGCACTCAGATGTATGCTGCATCCTCAAATGACCTTCAGTGTACGTTAATCATAGTTTAATCGTGTAGAGGAGAACTGATTCTTACAAGGCAACTTATTTGTATGCTGCATCCTCAAACGAACGTCAGTGTGTTTTACAAGTTAGTCAAACCATGCAGATCTAACATCTTAAATAGACAACAAGGATCAAACCAGAACAGAGCAAACTTAAGTTTATTTCGGTAGTTTAGTTAGGCATTTTTTTAAAAATTTTTTCTCATTGTGTGTGTAAATTATTTTTTTACGAACAACACGCTTTTGTATGTCAACGCCGTACGTATTATAATTATTATTTTCTTTTTAATATTAGACGAATAAAATGCAAAGTTGACCTTTTGGAATTGTTTTGCGTGATGATATTTTGTGCTAACTGGAGGTGATGGACCGGGGGTCAGACCCACAATTCTTAGTTAACTGAGTTCGTGTTCTGCCCTGACGACTGGCTGGATTTGTTCGTCGATTACGGTAAAAAAAAATTTTGTTCGCATCAATAGAAATAAAAACAATAACAACAGCAAACAAATAGCAATAATGACTGGACAGAGTGAAACGCGTTGATTTTCACGACTTGAAAAAAAAGGTCGTCTACCTTCTCCCCCCCCCCCCCCCCCTTCCTCAGTCGTTGCTTAGCTTCTGTCGTGCATTAAATTCAAACATTTGAATTCAAAATTCACGTTAACGCATGCGAGAGCGTAGTTTTGCGAAAGAAAGCTGAATGTCCCTGTTTTTAATGTATATTTTTTATTTGTAACAAGGGAAATAGCGACTAATATCTTTTAGCTAATTATATACATGCTGGGAAATACTCACCAAAAAGCTATGTCGTAAACTTTCATACGAAGCCCTTTTAATTTCCCAACGCGCCGCCATTTTAAAAGTGTGACGTATTTGAAGATAATGGCCGGCCACGGAAATATTAAAAGTTAAAAATTAGTCTCTTTTACGGAGTGTCTGTTGGAGAGTCTATGGTTAAAACAGCCAACAGTGAAGGGCTGGATCACTGATTTACTTTTTCTTTACTTTGTGGGAAGAAAATGTAACTGCCATTAAGACAAATATCAGTTTGGAGGTTCCTTTGGTTTCCCCGTTTAACGTAGTTCTAACACGACGAACCATATCCTGCATGTGACCTTTTTAGTGTTTCGTATTCAGTAGAAGTAGTTTTTTTATATTTCAGTGAAATTGTTTTCCAATGTTGATGCTTTGAAGTTTGAGCTTTAGGTTACGAAACGTTACAATTAAGGATTTTCTTCGAAGACTCCTGCCTTTTGACTCAGAGACTAACCGAAGCACTTGATGAGGACTAAAGGCTTGTTGTATATTTTCGTTCCACTGTTTGTAGCCTGTTGTCTTCAGAAGACTCTTGGGATCACGTGATAGTTGAATGACGCATCGGTCAAAAAATTTTTAGTTTTGAAAATTAATGTTGTCGAAACTGAGATACTTCATCGCCTCGGATTTCCAACGCTTCACTAGGAATTGGTGAAGCTGAAACAGGAACCAACCAACTGTGACAGTTTTCTTTCTTTCTTGATCACTTCAAAAAGCATTGCAGAAAGCGGGAGTGGCATACTTCCTTTGTAAATCGATTCGGTTTGTGGCTTCATTTGTTCCAGTTTTTGCCTTCAAGCTTCAGTAAAGCTGTGACCCTTGGATAGTTCTCTGTTCAAATTAAATACAAATCAAGTCTCTCAAGGAAAAGTGTTTGTGTCTGTCACCTGTTGAGCTGTAGCTGGTATTGCTAAAAAGACGCTAATTTCAAATTTTTAAATTTACCGTAAATAATGTCATTGGAACGGGGGTATAATATCCAAAAGAATTCATTTTTCCAGTTATTAGAATCACCGTCAATTTACCGTTTTCTTTTCTTTTGCACTTTGCAAAGGTCACAGATCTACTTAAATATATATATATATATATATCTTCAAGCAGAATTAAATAAGGGGTCAATTCACCGGATTAATTTAGGTTTCTGGGAAACTAACCACCTACCCCTCCCCTAAGCCAACATTTTGCCCTAAGTGCGAAGTAAGTGATAATGTCGGCTCAGGGGAGTGGTAGGTGGGCCGTTTCCCAAAAACCTTAATTGATCCAATTCACCTGAAGTGGGAAAAAAGATAAGGAAACAGTTCATTAGTCGATGGCAAAAAAATACTCGCAAAATTTTAAACCTTCTGCTTATTTTAGTCAAACATTATTTTTTGACTCACGTCAAACTGATTTCAAAGTGATTATTCAAGGACCAATTGAATTCCGCTGTACGGACCACTTAACACTGAAACACCGGTAGCATCGTTTATGCATATCGTCATTTTCTTACCAATCTCTACGCAGCACCAGCTAGTTTCAAGGAAAACAACCTTGAGTGAAAAGATTAATGGATATAGACCTCCACGATATTTCCGAGTCAGTAAATCCCGTAACTGGTCAGTGTTTTTTGGAGTGATGGTTTTGAATCGGATAACAGCGAGTATTCATCGGTCTTGATAGGTAATTATTCAAGTTATAGTCGACTTTTCGTTCTCCAAACAATTAGACACCCGCTAGATGTTTGCTCGTAAGTTTAGAAAACACTTGTTTTTGACACTTATTAATAGTGCCGTTATTTACCGGTAGATATCTATTGTAAACAATTTCTAAGAAACCAAGCGTGAACACAATAGCTGACTGCCACGATCCCTGCATTGGACAAAATGAATATCGTTAATTATTTACTGGCAAGCTATCATAAAACAACTGACCCTACAATTGAAGCCACATATAGCGGATTACCCTGTACTGGAAAGGTGAGGAACAGCTTTTCTGTTTTAATCATTGACTTGCAGAAGATAACTTGTCGTATTGACTTATCAGGTCAAATATCAATCAAAGCTTATTTGGCTTGCATTTGTTTTTAGGCTTAGCCATGGATTATAGGCTGGTCTTCTGTTCCCTCTTATTTGTGGTTGTCACTGTGACTTCCAAAACAACATATCAAAGTAAGTGTCATTTTCGCTAACTATGGATTTATATTTTTTAGGCGCGTCTTTTATTTTTCAATGGTGCACACTTTTGTTAACCGTTGGAGAGAGTCATAAAAGCAATTGTCAATTAGCCAGTGGTATCAAAAAGATAAATTGTTTCACAGAAAAAGATCAACAAAGTTAGGAAAAACGTATTCGACGGATCAATTACACTTTAAATCTTCAATCTGTATTCAATGTAATGTCAGAAGTATGAAATACTCAAGTTTTCTCAGCAAATGGGGGAAAAGTCTTTATTTCATGTTTTCCTAGCAAATGATGGTGAAAATTTCAAAAAGACGATATTACAGGTAATAGAGACTTAAAGTTATCTCGCCATTTTACAATTTTTGATAGTATCCTTTGTGAAGCAATTTAATTCAAGCAAATCTTAAACTGGCATATTCATTGGTGTTATGTCGCAAAGAAAACTTCATGTTGGGGCTTCTGAAAAGTTTATAGTTCACCTCCTATCTGACTTAAAAAATCACTGACAGAAATAATTTGAAAATATTAATCCTCGATTTAATTTCGATTAAAATTAAGTCAGTGAAGTAAATTTCTGTTTGTAGTTAGAAGTTAGTTGTAAAAATCGCAAATAATAGAGGGAAGCTTTTTCTTGACAGTTCTGTTAAGATTTTTTACCATTTGGCAAGATCTATAGTTCCTGGAACATGGACTTTGTTTTGAAAATCGAAGTTCTTGTGGCCAGCTTAGTCAGGTATAGAAAGTCAAGGTTATTTACGTTCTTAAGTCTCTACAAGTTAAAAACAGACCTGTTTCGCGTTATTAACAATTCATGTATACATGTATAAGAGGTGGTTAGCCTCAGTCCTTTTGGAAATTTCAAGGGCAAACAACGATTTTTGCTATAAAGTATCTGCAGATATTGTCAATATTGCCTAGACTTTTCTAAAACTCAAGAAAGGTTAAAATTTCTCTGGATAGCCGTGCTATTCGTTTTCCTTATCATTAGGACTTTCGAACTTTCCTTAGACTTTCGGAGGTTGTGTTTTTCAGATTTAATTACCAAGGTATTGCGATTATTGTTGAAAGAGTATGTCTACTGAAAATTTCGGTATAAAGAGAAAATTTCTCCTTGAAAATTCTTACGAAAGTTCGTACGGCTACTCCATGTCCTCGAACTTTCGACCGGATCTATCAGGGTAGCTAACAATTTTGGTTGCGACAGAAAGCCACCTGAAAACTTCCAAAGTTCCCCCAAGACATCCGAACACTCAGATAAATAGTTTTTAAGGTAGCTCCAAATTAATCAAGCCGGCTTCTAAAGCATAGTGAATACCATTTGAGACACTTCTGATGTATCCGGGCTGAATTCGTGGACGTGTAGCGATTCTAGAAGACCATCTCCATTGCGACAAATGTTCGCAAAAGAGCGATAGTCAATTAATGTGCACATGGTATTTTACTATTAGTGTAATTCGCATGAGAATTATTTATAGTGATATTTCGAGGATTGCCTTTCTTTCAATCCGTTGTAATTTTTTGTTCTCTGTAGGTGATGAAATTTACCCTTTTTATTGATTTCTAACCTTTTTCCTGTTGAAGAAAGTGGCGCATATTGTACATGACGTTTCAAAGCCGTGTTTTGTTTATGGGACTAAAGCAAGGCAAAGGTGTTACAGCGTTTATTTAACTTGCTTGACTTGAACTAAAACGCACCTTAAGCTAACGATACTTCTTTTGTTGATTTAGGTATATTTAAAGGGAAGCAAGACCAAACGCATGCCCGCCCACATGCCCCAGTCATTGCGCACCGGATTGTACAACAGTTTGCTGCGCTCCCCTCCACCACCACCACCCCCGGCGCTTCCCCCACCTCCGCCCCCACCACCACCTCCTCCTCCTGGTCCCCCTGGTCCTGACGGCCCCATGGGCATGGCTGGTCCCTCTGGACCCGACGGACCTAAAGGACCTCCAGGACCTCCTGGACTTCCCGGCCCACCCGGTCTACCTGGACTTCCCGGTGCCCCTGCTGGACCCCCAGGACGTGATGGCCCAATGGGACCTCCAGGACCCTCAGGACATCAAGTAAGTATGACACTAGAAGCCCAGAAAATATGCTTGCTCTGTAGGGGCACTTCTTTGGTGACGATTTTGCTATAGAATAGCTGAATGAAGTCCTTGAATGGTATACACAAAGTGGTCGTGTTTAGTCGTTTCATGGCAAAAAGGTTCTGGTTTGTTTCGTGTATACCAGAAAAATGATAATGAGAAATGGCCTTGATACTTGATTATTTTTCCAGAAACAATGCAGCAGTGCTGCTGTATATTGTTCAACTGTGAATCCAGTAATAAAAGATTTCGTGTTCTACGCCCTCACGCCGTTCATATTTCGAGCCTGTATGTCGTTATTCGCCTTAGTCATGGTGTTGCAAGACGTTTTCGGGTAATTGACTCTGCCTTCCATTCTTTAGGGACCCCCCGGAGACCTCGGACCAATGGGACCACCAGGAGCACCCGGACTGCCCGGTCCCCCGGCTCCCCCAGGTGGACTGCCTCCATGTCCTCCTGTCTGCGTCAAAACATGCATCAAGGCTTGTCAACCACACTGCTGCGCGGGCAGAAAGAAGAGATCTCACCTCCTGCAATAAAATCAGCAACATTAACTACCACAGTACCTTTTTATACTCCTATTCCAAACAGTGATTTTAACAAGAATCGTATCGCTGAGCGAATTAAATTAAGACATGGCATCCCGTGAACGCCAGTGTGTCGCCGGTTAGATCCCATTCAATTTTGTTTGTTTTGTTGTATATTCGTAGTTAAAGTTGTCAGCCCGTTTAGTTTTGTTGCTTTCTTTTTGAACAAAAACGAACACGACCTTAAGCTTTCAATAAAAAGTTTTGAAAGATTCATTTAGATTGTACGTCAGAATTGTTTTTACAGTCTGATTGAAGTAGGAACAATGAATGAAAGAATTGTTTGAAATGTTTAATAAAATTACCCCTTAGTACAATTGTGAGTGTGCTTGTAAAGACTCACCCTTAAGGTGCAGTGGTAAAACGGGCAACAAAAAACGTGCAACTGCTTTTTAGCTGCAAAACGAGTTGAATAGCGATGTTGCGCGTTTTACCACCCACGAAAAAAACCCTGCAACCTTATTTGTTGCAAGACAGGCTCGAAGGTCGGTGGTAAAACGCGCAACATCGCTATTCAACTTTTGCAAAACAAGTTGCACGTTTTTTGCTGCCCGTTTTACTGTTGCTTTAGTCTGTACTAGAGCTGTTGTAAATTAAATCACCTTTAGGGTACGTCAAACTGCTTTTAGTGGTTACCCTCAGGAAGTCGTTATAATTATTGGTCGCTTTACCCGTTTACTGTGTTAAGAAGGGTTGGCGAGTGGTGGTTTTAGCCCTTACTGTTGCGAGCCTCGGACTTGCCATGTTTTTTGCAATGTGCATTATCATCCAGATACCCCCTTCCCCTACCTAATAAGAGATTTTCTCAACGTGCAACCAATCTCTAAATTATTGACGATACTCGAATTCTTATTGCTATGTTGATATATTTGCCCTTCAGGTTAAAGTTATTGACTTTTTATCTGCACACTTCTAGTAGAACCAATGAAATCCGCTGAAACAAGAAAACATGTTTCAATGCACGTGAAGCCAGAGGAAATGTACCATTATCATATATCTACCTATCCAATCACTTTGTTGTCCGCGACAACTAAGAAACAACGCGGTTTACCGCTCTTGATGAAATAAGTACTTACTGAAATACCAATTCTGATGGACTTTCAAAGAGCTGGTTGCACTCATGAAGGGTGAATGAAAGAGAGACGCCTACGCAATATTTCGTGACTTGGCATTCGGGAATTCATAGGCGCCAGAAATCCTGCACGTGTCGATGGAATATTACACGGCGGAAGTCCACCCTAGACAGAGGTCTGGTGAGTCCCCCTTGAGAAAGTAATTGACGTTTTGTGGAAGTTTTTTTGCAAGCCTATTTGAAGCATAAGCATTGCAGTGTGAAGGAAATTTGTGACACTTACCGGATACTTCCTATGTTATTTTTTTAGATTGAAGCTTACTGACTGTTCATCCCCAAACCGATCGAACAAGTATTTTTAACTGAGCTTCTTTGAAATAAGAAAGAAAGGTGTATATAGGTATTTTCTTAGGTAAAAAAAAATAACTAGAATGGTTCAAAATTCTAGCAAAATGTCTTCGACAAGCGGGTTTCGTGATTTTTCATCAGCCGTGGATAATTTAATTTGAACTGAATGTTACCCTAAGCGGTCTTGAAACACAATCGTAAGTTATCGCATGTGTTAATCACGTAGTTCAGCGATACATTGTCATTTGGAGAAAACATACCAAAGCTCTTTTCACTTAATAAAAATCGACT